TAGAGCCCAATGTTAGAACCTAACCATAGAGCCTAATGGTAGAGCCTAATGGTAGAAACTGATAGTAGAGCCAAATGGTAGAGCCCAATAGTAGAGCCTAATGGTAGAGCCTAATGGTAGAAACTGATAGTAGAGCCAAATGGTAGAGCCCAATAGTAGAACCTAATGGTAGAGCCTAATGGTAGAATCTAATGGTAGAGCCTAATGGTAGAATCTAATGGTAGAGCCTAATGGCAGAACCTAATTGTAGGGTCTAATGGTAGAACCTAATGGTAGAATCTATTGGTAGAGCCTAATGGAAGAACCTAATTGTAGGGTCTAATGGTAGAACATAATGGTAGACCCTAATGGTAAATTATAATGGTATAACCTAATGCTAGAGTATAATGGTAGAGCTGAATGAAAGGATCTAATGGTAGAGCCTATTGGTAGAACATAATGATAGAGGTTAATTGTTATGGCCTTCCTGCTGGTTTTACCCTCTATTCTTTGTCAGCAATGAAGTTTAGTTTAGGTAGCTAAAGGTAGACTCTGATGGTAGAGGCTAATGGTAGAGCCTAATAGTAGAATCTAATGGTAAAGGCTAAGGGTAGACTCTAATGGTAGAGCCTAATGGTAGAGCCTATGGTACAACCTAATGGTAGAGCCCAATGATAAAATCTAATGTTAGAGCCAAATGGTAGACTCTAATGATAGAAGCTAATGGTAGAGCCTAATAGTAGAATCTAATGGTAGAGGCTAATTGTAGACTCTAATGGTAGAGCCCAATGGTAGAGTCCAATGTTAGAACCAAACTGTAGAGCCTAATGGTAGAGCCCAATGGTACAACCTAATGGTAGAGCCCTATGTTAGAGGCCAATGGTAAAATCTAATGTTAGAGCCAAATGGTAGATCCCTATGGTAGAGCCCAATGGTAGAACCTAATAGTAGAATCTAATGACGGAGCCCAATGGTAGAACCTAATGGTAGAATCTAATGAAAGAGCCTAATGGTAGAACCCTAATTGTGGACTTCTCACGGTAGACACCTAACGGTAGACCCCTAATGGTAGAGCCCTAATGGTAGACCTCTCACGGTAGAGCCCTAATGGTAGACTCCTAACAGAAGGCCCTAACAGTAGACCCCTAACGGTAGACACCTAACGGTAGACCCCAAATGGTAGAGCCCTAACGGTAGACCCCTAATGGTAGACCCCTAATGGTAGACCTCTCACGGTAGAGCCCTAATGGTAGACCCCTAA